ACAACATAGAAACAGAAGGAACATTACCAAACTCATTTTTTGAGGCCACAGTCACCTTGATACCTAAACCACACAAAGACCCAACAAAGAGGAGAACTTCAGACCTATCTCTCTTATGAACATTAATGCAAAAATACTCAATAAATTACTCTCAAACTGAATCCAAGAAGACATTAAAGATATCATGCACCATGACCAAGTAGGCTTCATCCCAGGCATGCAGGGGTGGTTCAATATATGGAAATCCACCAATGTATTCCACTACATAAACAAACAGAAGGAAAAAAATCCGCATGATCATTTCCTTAGATGCTGAAAAAAGCATTTGACAAAATCCAACACACATTCATGTCTAAAGTTTTGGAGAATTCAGGGATACAAGACACATACCTAAACGTAGTAAAGGCAATATACAGCAAGCCTACAGCCAACATCAAACTCAATTGAAAGAAACTTAAATCAATCCCTCTGAAATTGGGCACAAGGCTAGGCTGCCTACTTTCTCTGTATCTCTTCAACATAGTATTTGAAGTCCTCGCTACAGCAATAAGACAACTAAAGGAGATCAAGAGGATACAAATGGGAAAGGAAGAAGTCAAAGTATCACTTTTCACAGATGATATGATTGTATACATGAATGACCCCCAAAATTCTACCAGAGAACTCGTCCAGCTGACAAACACCTTCAGCCAAGTGGCTGGATACAAAATTAACTCAACACACACACACACACACACACACACACACACACACACACGCACACACACCAAACAAAACAAAGCAAAAACCTAGTAGCCCTCCTATATATGAAAGACAAAAGGGCTGAGAAAGAAATTAGGGAAACAACACCGTTCACAATAGCCACAAATAGAGTACCTTGGTGTGACTCTAACCAAGCAAGTGAACGATCTGTTTGAAAAAACTTAAGTCTCTGAAGAAAGAAATTGAAGAAGATCTCAGAAGATGGAAAGATCTCCCAAGCTCATGGATCAGTAGGGTTAACATAATGAAAATGGCCATCCTGCCTCCTCACTGGGGGGATGCAGCCTTACCAGGCCCCAGAGGAAGACAATGTAGCCAGTCCTGATGAGACCTGATAGGTTGGGGTCAGATAGAAGGAGATGAACCTCCCTTATCGGTGGATTGGGGGAGGGGCATGGGAGAAGAGGGGGAGGGTCGGACTAGGAGGGGATGAGGGAGGGTGCTACAGCTGGGATATAAAGTGAATAAATTGTAATAATTAAGAAATAAAAAGAAATAAAGATCTTAATATAAATATATATTTTTAAACTTTCTGTGAATTAAAAATATTTTTCTCATTTTTTCCTTGAAGATTTATTTGAAACAGGATTTCACTGTGTATGCCTTGCTGATCTGGAACTCTCTATGTAGACCAGTCTGGCCTTAAAAAAAAAATGTGTGTGTGTGTGTGTGTGTGTGTGTGTGTGTTTGTCTGCCTGCCTGTCTGTCTGTGTACAGGCATCCAGATGCTCATAGAGGCCAGAAGAGGGAGTTGGATTCTTTGGAGTTGGAATTATTTAAGCCGGCTAGTGTTGCATTTGTAATTTTCCTTACTGTTCTAAATTCAAGAAATTCTTTTTAAGCCCATAGACTATTGTCTACCTGGGTCTTAGTTAAAAATACAATGTTCAGTTTAAATAGAAAACTTACCCCCAAAATCTAACTAAACCATTTATTGCTTCTTCTTCCCTTTATTTTTTGATACTGTGTTTATCATGCAGTTAAATTTTTATCATATTAGACTGTTATACTAAGATACTATGTTGAAATCGCCTTCCCTGTCTTTTTCCCTTTTGACCTATTCTTTTGAGGATCTGCTCATTTGGACTGCTCTTCCCTATCCTGCTTCTCTTTTGGCTATATTTTTTACTTCTTCTGTTTTCAATTTTCATTTTTGCAGTTTCCAGAATTAAAAAAAAAATAATCCACATGTGAGAGCTTGCAGGCAGCTGCACTGTTCTTTTCTTCATTGTATTCCCTGTAGCCCTTATTGAGATTTCTTAATAAAAGTAGGACATTTGGGAGATAGGCAAAAGGAAAGAGAAGAAAATAAATTATCCTTACCATTTAAATATGCTCTGATATTGGCAAATACTGTATAATGGAATTTATTGCAAGTTATATAGTATATGAATATCTTGCATATTCATATATAAAATAGGTATGTGTGTTTTAAGCATACATATTCTGTTATGTGCTTTAAAATTACATTTTAATTCTTTTAAGTGTGTGGGGGCAGGGAGTATTTGACTGCTAAGGTGTATAAGTGGAGGTCAGAGGACAATTTATGGGAGTCAGTTGTCCCCTTCTATCATGTGAGTTCCAGGGATCAAACTCAGGTCATCAAATTTGGTGGCAAGTGCTCTTACCCACTGAGCTGTCCTACCAACTCTGCTGTGTGCTTTTGACTTACAAGTATTTCTTGTCTTTTGTGTGCTGGAGGTTGAATCCATGGTCTCAGGCACACTAAACAATTAGTTGACCTCTGTATCTATATTTCTAGCCCAAATGTTTGAAAAACTCCACTGTGGTTTATTTATAGCACACGTTATATTCTGGCGGGGCCGGGGGTTGGGGGAGAATGTGATTTGAGAGAGGGTCCTAAACAGCCCAGGCTGATTTTGAACTCACTATGTAGCTAGAGCTGGCCTTGAGCTTCTGACTGTGCTATCCCTTCTGTGTTTATAGGCATGAGTCCTCGTATCTGAATAGGGTTTCAAACAGTTCTGATGGTACCCTATGATCTTTATTCTAAGTAAGAACTTGCTGTGAAATAATATGCTATTGTCTCAAAAGTGAATGATTTTCAGAATAATAAAAACCAACCCCCTAAGTTATATCAGGGCACCAATGTACATGGGTGTTTTTTAAAGGTTGTGTCAGCGGTTGCCAAATGGAAAGGTTGGATAAATAAATTGGAGAAGATGGATTGTACCCTTCACGTTTTCTAAGGAGCCTGAAAGCTTAGGCCACGTGAAGCCTTGCACAGTGTAGCTTTCAGGTTCTTGGGAGATAAAAAAGAATCTAGCATTACCATGGCAGAACAAATTAATTGGATGCGGAATAAAAACTTTGACAACAGTAGCCACAATTTCTGTTTATTCAGAAGCCAGAGAGGGTCATCCTGCACCTTAAACAGTTATTTTAGGTCGATGGGCCCAAGTCTGGAGGGTGTAAATGAGATGGCCGGCTGCAGCAGCAGCTCTGGAGGGAGGGGGAGGGGATGACAGTACACATGTGGAAAGTACAGGCGAGCCCTTGAGACATGCGCTGTGTGGCTGCAGCCAGCGTGAGTCACAGTCGCCAGCCTCCAGGGAGCGGGGAAGCGTGGGGTTTCTTATGGGAAAGGCACTGGATCCCTTCATCATTTGCTGTCTCAGACTCTCAAGGTTCAGGAAAGTGTTCAAGGTGCCTTTGTTTACTATCTGGGAGAGAAGGAGAAAGAGATATTGCCAAGGAGTTTGGAAAATCACTGTAGCCTATGAGAACTTTGGGGGAAAAATGCCTCTTGAGTCTTGTTTATGGAGACTTAGAAGGGACCATACCATTGAAGGAATCCTCTGGTAGCTAGCCCAGTGTTGCTGAAGTGGATGGCCCAGAGGGGAAGCAGCGAGTGGGAGTGTTAGAACTGTCCACCCAGGAGGAAAAGCCTTCAGGAATAAGGATCTGGACTTTATCTTATTTGAAGTTTGCACCAAAAAGATTGAGGTAATCCCCAAACGCCCACATAGATCTTTATAATTGTTTTCATATGTACTACAAATAGATAATATTTTTCCTTTTGGGATGTATTTCAGTCAAGCATTTAGATAATGAGATGATTTTAATACAAATGTAATATTTAATTTATATCTGTGTGTAAAACACTATTCTTACTAAAAACCTGTAAATATAAAATTGAAAATTAAAGAGGGTTAGAAACGAGGTGGTTGATGCTCATCTTTGTTCTATCAATGCTGCAAGCACATTCCCCTTCTCTTTGGGCTCCGGTATTTGCTGGGGATTTATATAGCAGTGGGTCTCCACTTTCCTAATGCTGCCACCCTTCCCCAACCATAAAACCACCCTTGTTGCTACTTCCTAACTAAGTTTGCTCCTGTTATGAATCGGAATGTGAATATCTGATAGGCAACGGCCCCTGTGAAAGGGCTGTTTGACCCCCAAGGTGGTCATGACTCACAGGTGAGAACCAGTACTAAATAAGACCTAATGAGCCTCTCAAAACACGTTGTGAACTTAAACTGTGAAATATGGCATGAGCAGAATGGGCATGAGCAGAAGAGGGAAGGTTGCTGTTTATTGACTTCTGTACTCCCAGCTCCCGGTATAGACAGGACTGACTTCCCAGGCCAAGGATCAATAGTTGGGAATAACTGTAGAGGAGTCCTTGCAAACCTTTTGTTGCTGGGCAGGGCTACAGTGTTTGTTTCATGGTCTTTGTTTCATGGCTACAGTGTTTTCTTTCTGGTCTCTTGTCATCGCTATCCTGTGTTAAGGTGGGTACTGAGTTGGAAAAATCTGTTGACATTTGCGAAGAGGAATGGAAATATTCTGTTTTGTAATTCATAAATTAGTACTGAATGTAGTCTTGACATGTGTGCCCTTTGTGAAATGTTCAGTTTGGGTGAACATTTTCTAATGGCTTATTTTACATATTCTTTTTGAACAAGTAAAATCTCCCAGTCTCTTACATGTAAGGCAGCTGGGAAGGGCATGGCCGAGACAGCTCAGGCGAAGCCTATGGTGAGGCCTGGGTGCGGTGAATGATGCCCTCTTTGCGGCCCGCACATACATCTCTTCCCAAAGAGGATGGCTGGTCTCACTTGTTCTCCAGTCTTAGGAATGTCTTGTAAAGAACTGAATTTTCACATAATCAAGCCTTGAAAACCCAACGACCATTGTGGCGATACCCAGAGACTGCAGTTGTGAGGAGAGAAGAGAGACATGCCAATTTGTACTGTTGTCTTTGATTTCAACAGGTAAGAAAGCTCCTGTTTTGTTTAGTAAGGAGATGATCGAATCAATGAAGGAAGGCTCCGTTGTTGTGGATTTAGCTGCTGAGGCTGGCGGGAACTTTGAAACCACGAGGCCAGGAGAACTGTATGTTCATAAGGTATAGCAGGAAAGCGTCTTCTGCCTTGATATTCTGATAGCCAGTGATTTGTGAGGTTTAAAAAAATATTTTTACGACTTCTTTGAGAATTTAACACACATGTACAATGTATTTAGGTCATATTGACTCTACACTCTTTCCCCAGTGCTTTCTGGGTCCTATCCCCGTCCCCCAATTGAGGCTCTTTTTTTTTTTTCTCCCCCTTCTTTTAAAATTTCTTTTATAGTGCTGGGAATCACACCGAGGGCCTCACACATGCTAGGCAAGTATTCCTGTACAGAGTTGTACCCCAAGTCCTCTGTAAAGGGTTTGTTTCTTTAAGTATTTGGAGAAATTAAAGTCTAAAAGTTTTAAAAATTAAAAAAAAAAACGAAATCTTGGAAAGAGATGTAAAAAATGGCCATAATTAAAGCTGATTTTTATGTTTGTAAGTATATATGTTTTTATATCTACCAAGATAGGTACTTTCTAAACTGAGCCACAACTGTGCCTGAGACTCGTTGAAGAGGGAGCATAACTGTAGGGAATTAACCTTTGTGACAATGTGCTCTTTCGTTTAGGGGATTACTCATATCGGCTACACAGACCTCCCCAGCCGGATGGCCACCCAGGCCAGCACCCTGTACTCCAACAACATTACCAAGCTCCTGAAGGCCATCAGCCCTGACAAGGACAATTTTTATTTTGAAGTGAAGGATGATTTTGACTTTGGTACAATGAGTCATGTCATTCGAGGAACTGTGGTGATGAAGGTAGGAGGTCCCTTTCTTCCTGCATTCTTTATTTTTTAAAATTTATTTTTATTTTTATGTACGTTGTGTTTTGCCTGCACATGTGTCTGTGGGAGGGTGTCTGACCCTGGACGTACAGACAGTCGTGAGCTGCCTTGTGGGGGCTGTGAACTGAACCTGGGTCCTCTGCAAGGACAGTTAGCCCCCAACCACTGAGCGTCTCTCCAGCCCTCTTCCTGTATTTTTCTTGTTAGCTTGGGTTTAGGATTTCTGTTCATGGAAGAATTTCATTTTGGGATAGAGATATATTTTGATAAAGCATTGGCATGCCAATGGAAGTTGTTTAAAAGTAGAGAATGATTTGAGGAAGCATTTCAAAGACTCAAGTATGTAGCGGTCACTGAAAAATATACAGCATTTTTGGAAACCAGAAACAGAAGTTTAATAAAGCAAAAATGAATTGTTTTCAGGTTTGAGCAGCATCCTTTTAATGCACCAGACACATAAAAATTATATATGTATAACATAAACACTATACACATAAAACATACCTATTTTATAAATTATATGAATTTATATACACAAACAAAACAGTTTTTTTTTTCAGTATGAGCTCTCTCCTGTGAATCGTTTTGAAATGCCAATTTGACTTCCAAAATATTATTTCTCTAATATTGCTTAGGACGGCAATGTGATTTTCCCAGCTCCCACACCAAAAAATATTCCTGCAGAAGCCCCAGTAAAACAGAAGACAGTGGCTGAACTGGAAGCAGAGAAAGCAGGCACGGTCTCAATGTACACGAAGACGCTGACCACAGCGTCTGTGTACGCGGCAGGTGAGCGTTGCATCTATAAGGCTTAACACTTACTGGGTTTTGTATGCAGCGTGTTGGTTATCATGGCTGGTGAATGGAATGCTGTTGTTACTCTTTGGATGCTATTGTCCTGGGCCGAGTATGTCTGACTTTACCACATGTTCCCTGGCCCTCCTCTGTGGACGGGGAGACCACAGTGATTACCCAGAGTAACCCAGGCACTGTGCTAAGTACTGAACTGAAGGCATGTAAAATAACATACTGATATGTTTTACATAAAACGTCTTCAGTATGGTCATCAATACTACCTACAAAAAAGCTATTGAGTAACAGTGAGGGTCAGAGTGTGTGGTGGTAAATGTATGTAAACATCTGTATTACGGGTTAGACTGAGGAGCCAAACACTTGTTTGAAATAAAAACAGTATGAGGTAAGGGAGAGCCTGCATGTTAGACTAGCATTCTAAGTTACCTTCCAAGAGACTTTAAGATTTTAATTTGGATTTCTTTCTCTGTAAGTGGTCACAAGCTTTTTTTTTTTTTTTTTTTTTTAAGATTTATCTTTGTGAAACTAAAGAATTACCGTAAAACAGTGAGACATATTCAAGGGGCTGAAATGTGGGTATTTGATTGGAAATTACTTTCTTCCTCATAGGAGGAATTTAACACGCTTAGATCTGCTTAGTGTCAAAGCAAAAACAAAACAAAAGCAAACTATAATGAATTAAGGGAGCAGCATCAGGCACACATGATTCTTGTAGGCTCCGCATTCCCTGGGCTCCCATGTGAGCCCAGATGTTTTAAAGCTAAATGTGTAGCTCTCCTTGAATAAAGAGCAAGGCTCAGCAAGATGTGTGAAGAACGTCTGCTGCACATTGTGTGTAAACGGGGCAGTGTCCCTACATGCACTCACTTGTTTAAAAAAAGGGGTAAGATGATTGCACTGTTCATGGGCTGTTTAGACTGCAGGACTGTGGATTTCCACTTCTCTTTGAGATGCAGAAGAAAATGGTGCAGGGACTCTGTGATGATCTCTTTTTAGGTTTCCGTCATGCTTATCGAGGTGAGGCATTTCTAGATAACTAAGTTGATAAGAAAACTTTCCTATCTGTTATACACTCTGTGTCTTTGCCCAACATGAGGCACTATAGATTTTGCTGAGTTAGTACTTTCTGACTAATAATTTCAGAATAGAGACTAGCATTTAATGAGCACCAGGAATTTTGCTACAGCTACGTGCTTCATCTACTTTAGCTCACTTATAAAAGCTCAGGAACGTGGTAGTACTGGCATATCTCTTTTTGTTTGTTTGTTTTTAGATAAAGACACAGAGGGTTAATAATATTATGGATGAGGACATTGAAGCACAGTGAGGTACATGGCTTGTCTACCAGCAGGGTATTAGCAAGCAGCAGAATGAGGATTTACGTTATGCAATCTGACCTAAGAAAATATGACAGATCATAACCCTATATAACAGAGTGTTTTCTCATTAACTGGAAAGCCAAAATATTTATCTGACTCCATCCCCAGAGGTTTAACAAACCATGTGTTAGAACTTTTGAAATACTGAATATGAGTAGGAAAATCTACATTAAGAATATCAACTTGCCGGGAGGTGCTGGAGGCAGACGCAGGTAGATCTCTGAGTTCGAGGCCAGCCTGGTCAACAAAGTGAGTTCTAGGATAGCGGGGCTATACAGAGAAACCCTGCCTTGAAAAACCAAACCAAAAAAAAAAAAAAAAAAAAAAAGCCAACTCAAAGTAAAATTAATGTCAATTTGTAGCTGTTCCTTTATCTATGCCAGTGATAAAGCATTAGTTCCTGCTGAGAAACCAAGGCCTCTTGTTCAGGAAAGGGCACTTTCAGCTCCTGCATAGCCCAGTGTCTCTCTCTTTACTGACCACTAGGTAACCCTTTCTTCTGTTGCAGAACAGCCATCCACATGTTTGTTATTAAGGAAGGCGATAATTGAAGATGTATGTTCAGAGTGGACTGTTTGTATTCTGCACATTCTTAATTTAATTTGTAGGGTTTTTTTTTTTTTTTTTCTTTTCTTTTCTTTGTAAAACTCTGTTTGCTGAGTTGGTGTTGAGGCTGGAGCTGACTTCCTTGGCCAGCAGTCCAGACCAGATTCAGGAGCAATTGCAAAATTTCTGTCCTGGGTGGGTGGAAGCCATATGTTTCAGGGAGGTGCTGGAGTGAATGAAATCCTGCCTGGTCTTTGAAAACCTCTCTTGCTCAGCTACAACTGAGAGTGACATAAAACTGGCCTCATAAGAGTTCTGTCTTGTAAAGGTTATGTCCTGCCTGAGTAGAAAGTGCTTTGTAGATCTTCTGTAGGCCTGTAATTCTGGAATAAAAATGCTTGTATAAACACATGTGACACTGTCAGTAAATGGTAAAACAAAAAGAAGTCAAAGTTAGGCACAGGGAAATGTGCAAATTTTTATGAAGGTGACTCATAAATACTATGAGATCTTTGCATTTCACTTTGGGAGAGTGGTCTGAAAGGCAGATTTTTGTCTGTAGTCTCCTTTGCCTCTTAATGATCAAATGTCTTAAAAATCTGTTCATTATTAGTAGAGGAAGAGAATTTAAGACATTGACTATTGTTTTGTGTGTATGTGTATGAGCATGTACTTTTAATTTTACTGAGATCATTGCAGCCCATCTCACATTCTCTCTCTTTCTCTAGGTCTCACCGGGATGCTGGGCTTGGGCATTGTGTCCCCCAATCTAGCCTTCTCTCAAATGGTGACCACTTTTGGCCTGGCTGGCATTATTGGTTACCACACAGTCTGGGGAGTGACCCCTGCTCTCCACTCACCACTGATGTCTGTGACTAATGCGATCTCAGGTTTGTTCTTTGCTTCTTTTCTCCTCTTAGGCTGTCATAGGCTCTTCAGCTTTAGGAGCATTTCAGTGAATTTTGTAAAGCCTCTTTTCAATTCATGACTCCTGGTGTCTGTGGCAGTTATTGTAATGGCTTGGGGATTCCCAAGGGTGAGTAGGCTTGTCAGGTAGGATGTCATAGAATGTGTCAGCCCTTCCTGTGTCCCATTTCCAACAGTGTGGATCCATTAATATTTCTTCCAATTATTATGTACTTTAAGAAAAGGATCCTGCCAGAGAGTGTTTCACAGAATTAGTTGCAACACCCTCTAGAGTTTCTTCTTAGAATCAACTAAACATTCAGTCTAGCAAGGCTATAGTAGGCTGTATATGACTTTGACTGTATATGACCGTGATGGTTAGCAGCAAGGAACCAGCTTGCCAGGGAATGGTACCACGCGTCTTTCTCTGGGGAGAATTTCCATAGCAATACACATGACTGCAAGAAGCTATTCTCTTCGATCTCCAGCAGTGGCTTAAATGTGAGGGGATGTGAGACCCGTCTGATTAGCCGACATGATCGAGGGTATGATTATCTTTTGGAATGTCCTAGGCACATCTCCTAGGATTACTTCAGGGAGTGCATGCAGTTTTAAAACATGCTGTATATAGGAAAGCTCAAATTGGTTGCAACCTGATCAATATCAATAGATCATAATTAGTTCCTTCTAGTTTGGTTGCAAGGTAGCTATCCACAGCCACATTTTCCTGTAAGCAGTGTCCTAGTCACATTGCTGACTGGTCACTTGATGAGAACACAGATCCTTATGCCAAAGGAAGCAAAGCGTGTTGACCTTTTGGCCAGGATAGTACTTTAAGTAAGAAAGATGTGCAGGCATGTTGTCAACGGTTTTGATCAGGAAGACTGTTCTTTCCATTTTAATGAAGGTGGAAGAAGGCTGTATTGTCTTTTGATATTGGATCCTGATATGACAAGAGTTTTGGTTCTTACATCAGGTTTGGAGAGATTACTGTACTTACTCACCATGGTGATGCTTTTTTTCTAGGTTTGACTGCAGTCGGTGGGTTGGCGTTGATGGGAGGGCATTTTTATCCTTCTACAACCTCCCAGAGTCTTGCTGCTCTTGCCACATTCATATCGTCAGTGAACATTGCAGGTAGGAGGAAGAGGACAGAGTTCAGATGCTGTTTCTCATGAAAACACAGGAAGCAAATACCAAATCGTATAAAGTAGACTTTCTAGTTGAAACATTTAACTGTCCCCTTAAAAATGACTTCTCTTAGGCCACGAGTGTTCCTTTTTGAAGGAGAGTCAAATATTTTGCCTATCAGTAATGGTTTGAAACTGTATTGATGCCACTTGATACCAATCCTTCTATACCCTCAGCCACGTAATGATGTCTCGCTAGACGATAACTGGGAAGTCATGGAATGCATAGCTCGGACTTCCGTTGACTTTTGCCATCACCGTGACATCTGTAAATGAGTATAGCTACAGACAAAATTTTAGTCTTTGCCTTATCACAACTGTTGTCTGTTCCTGGAAACTAAAAGGCTAGCACATCACATGTGTATGACACTCATTTCATGCTATTTTATAGTTAAAAATTCCTTAATGTGTCCAAGAGACCTGGTGTCTGTTGATACAGTATCTTTCCTTTTATGGTTTGTTACAGACTTTGACAGGGTAACCTATCAGAGAAAAATACTGACTTTTGATCCTTTGCATTTCATGCTTTTAAATGGCTCTTTACTTTTAGTCATGCAGAAACAGTTGGCCCTGCATTCTGATAGCAAGTTTTCTTCCTCATCCACCCCAAGGGAACTGGCTTTAATCATAGAATGACTTTTGCCTTTGAGGTTCAATAACTTGAAATAATAGTTGTCACTTTGGGATACTTGGTGATAAAAGTATACTTAAAACAAAGATATTGCAGCATATAGAGAAAAGTTACACTGTCTGACATGACACCTCTTACTGTTTTATGTTTCTCTTGCTTCCGTGAGGTGGCTTTCTGGTGACTCAGAGAATGCTGGACATGTTCAAGCGACCCACAGATCCTCCAGAATACAACTACCTGTATCTGCTTCCTGGTTGTACTTTTGTGGGTGGATATTTAGCTACTCTCTACAGTGGTTATAACATCGAAGAAGTAAGAGACCTTTGAAAGTTTTCATTTCTACTACTGTATCTTTCTACCTTTCAGAATTAATGTCACTAATAGAATTCAAACTATTGTGAATATGCACCTCTATCAGCAAATACAGTAATAACCTGGAAACACCATGTTCAAACAGACCACCCCAACATCCTAAGGATGAGGAGCTGATGTGGGGTTACTTGTTAATTTTTAATTTTTTTTACATGTAGAAAGAGCTGAAAAGGCATTAGTGGCTCCCTTATGTGCCTGGCTAGATTGTTGTAAGGAGACAGTAGATTAACCAATAATCAATTTGAAAATGTTTATACTTTCCTCCTCTGCAAATATATCACAATCACCTCTTGTGAACAAAATATACTATGCAATGCAAGTATGAAGAAAACATAGAATTTAAAATTTGTATGCCATAGGGCAGTGGTTCTCAACCTTGCTAATGCTTCAACCTTTTAAGATAGTTTCTCATGTTGTGGTAACCTCCCCAACTACAAAATTATTTTTGTTACTACTTCATAACTGTAATTTTGCTACTGTTATGAATCATAATGAAAATATCTGTGTTTTCTGGTGGTCTTAGATGACCCCGTGAAAAAGACATTATACTCCCGGAGGGTCGAGACCCACAGTTTGAGAACTGCTGTTGGAGGGACTAGGGAGACAGTAAAGCACCGGTAAAATGCTTGCTACATGAGCATGAGGACATGAATTTGATCCCCAAAACGTGTGTAAAGAACCTGGGTGTGGTACTGTGTGAGCTTGTAATCCTAATACTACAGAGTCAGAGACAGGCGTGTCCCTGGGAGGGATAGCTTATGTGGTGAGTTCCAGGAAACTGAGACACCCTGTTTCAAAGAACAAGGTGGAATGGCACCTGAGCTTGTCCTCTGACCTACACACATAAACGAACATGCACACACACACAGCTTTATGCTGTATGATAAAGGAATAACCGGATTTGAACTTAGAAAGTTTCTAGGTGAAATATAAAAAGAGCTGAGGCTTTTCTGTGAGTTGCCTATTTTATGTTTCTTTCCATTGATTGCCACTGGATTGCAACTTCTCTGGCAGCAGAGAAACCATATCTCTCTTGGTTTCTTCTGTGTCCCCAATACGCAGTGTTACTGGAGTGACAACACCTCTTTTAGAGAAGAGTTGAAGCAGGGAGTTGAGAGAGTCGAGCCTGAACTGTTCTCTGCTTACTGATCTTGCCCTCGTAAATCTTCATGTTTCCCTTTTATAAAGTGAGGAGAATGGGTCCTTTCTCATGTGGCTTTCATGAGACTGTTGTGGTTCAAGTAAGGCACATACACAATTCATGTACCGGTGGCATAGTTTGGCTATTTTATAGTGTTTAGACACGTTTACTGTTTCAAAATCTAATAATAACCCCATTTAAGTCTAGGTGTTTTTATATAGTTGTGTATGCTGTCAAATACAGAAGGAGGCCAATATATATAAATGGCATAATTATAATATTTAAAGTATGCAATGCATTTACATTCCTAAGGGATGGAAAAATATTTTAAAATGTTAACAGTAGAGTTAAGGTCTAATTAGAACTGTCTGAATTTCAACTATCCTTAGAAAGCTGTGTTCCTCTCCCTGAGCCAACAGGCTGAAGGCTTTTTTTTTTTAATTTTATTTATTACAATTATTCACTGTTTTTTGAATTGACATTGATCTCGATTTTATTGATTATTTTAGAATTATTTTATTCTTTTTTTAAAATTTATTTTTTAAAATAAATTGCAGTTTATTTACTTTGTATCCCAGCTGTAGCCCCCTTCCTCATCCCCTCCCAATCCCATGCTCCCTCCCTCATCTCCTCCCATGCCCCTTCTCAAGTCCACTGGTAGGGGAGGTCCTCCTCCCCTCCGTCCCTAGACTATCAGGTCTCATCAGGACTGGCTGCATTGTCTTCCTCTGTGGTCTGGTAAGGCTTTTCCCACCTCAGGGGGAGGTGATCAAAGAGCCAGCCACTGAGTTCATGTCAGAGACAGTCCCTGTTTCCATTACTAGGGAACCTACTTGGACACTGAGCTGCCATGGGCTACATCTGTGCAGGGGTTCTAGGTTATAGCCATGAATGGTCCTTGGTTGGAGTATCAGTCTCAGAAAAGACCCCTGTGCCCAGATTTTTTGGTTCTGTTGCTCTCCTTGTGGAGCTCCTGTCCCCTCCAGGTCTTTATTCCCTGCACTCTGCCCAAAGTTTGGCTATGAGTTTCAGCATCTTCTTTGATACCCTACTGGGTAGAGTCTTTCAGAGTCCCTCTGTTGTAGCCTCCTGTCCTGTTCCCTGTTTTCTCCTTCTTCTGATGTCCATCCTGTTTGCCTTTCTGAGTGAGGATTGATCATCTTACCCGGGGTCCTCCTTCTTGCTTAGCTTCTTTAGGTGTACAGATTTTAGTATGCTTATCCTATATTATATGTCTAATATCCGCTTATAAGTGAGTATATGCCATGTGTGTCTGAAGTTTTTAATAATTTCTTTCTCTTCTTTCCTTTGCAAAGCTCATGTACTTGGGCTCGGGCTTGTGCTGTGTCGGAGCCCTGGGCGGCCTTTCCACTCAGGGAACAGCAAGACTTGGCAATGCCCTGGGTATGATCGGGGTTGCAGGGGGCCTGGCGGCCACACTCGGAGGCCTGAAACCAGATCCACAGTTGTTGGCTCAGATGTCTGGAGCCATGGCTATGGGTGGCACCATTGGTAAGCACTTGTGGGCTTCTGTCTTCATACACACTCATGTCCTTCATATGCCTGAAGCACGTTAGGCTTAGAGACTTAAGATTAGCGAGTGCTTAAACACGGGATTTATTTTAAGGGGTGCATTGTTAGGAAGAGTCCTCCTTGGGTAAATACTACATAGCTTATTCTCACTCAAATACCAACATTTTAAAACGTGGGAAAGTGTGTCAACAGAGTTAAGAGTGGAATTTAAAAAAAACATCCCATATGGCATGAAGTTCTCTTTCCCTCTCACTGACTGCATCCAGCTTTATTTATTATAGGATAAGGGGTTGGGATACTTAACACGTAGGCTCATTTTCTGTCCTGCTGATTATAAACAGCAGTAGCCGACTCTGTTCTTAAGTGTTAAACATTCTAATAATTGTGACTGAGTAGAAAAAAACCCACTCTTAATTTTCTCTAGTGTTATGCTAGAGCTCTTGTCATTTTTTCAGAATTTTGTGAGCTGGTTTTAAAATAGAACCATTACTAAAAATTAAATAAGCCAGGTGGTGGTGATGCACACCTTTAATCCCAGCACTCCGGAGGCAGAGGCAGGTCAGCCTGGTCTACAGAGTGAGTTCCGGGACAGCCAGGGCTACACAGAGAAACCCTGTCTAAACCAACCAACCAAACAGAACAATAACAATAAAAACTTACATTATACCAGAAGCAAAGGTAATACTAATAACTTATTCCCCTTTATAACTAACTTCCTAGACTTTTTATTTATTATTTATACAGTGTTCTGCCTGCATGTGTGCTTATACATGATGTTAAACAAGGGTTAAAATCCCCATGCCTTCTCCTTAGTACATCTGTGAAAATTCTTGAGAATTAGAGAATTTATTGCTCAGAATTTTTCTTTGGTTTTGGCTTTAGTTCTGCTTATCTGAAAAACTAAGGTTAATTTTGTTTTCTTCAAAATTCCATCTGTTAATTATATACATAGGTGTAAACACTGGCTTTAGAGAAGAGAACCTGGAATATTCACTCAGTGGGGAGACGCTAAGGAGGCTAACAGGAGCTCTTAGTAGCCTTCCGAAGCTTTTGTCTCGGAGTGTATTTGGAGTTTGTGCATTGATGCCATACACTGCTTTTTTATGTTGCTTAGATGAGGTGAGAAATTGAGCTATTTTGACACCATACTGTTTATAGCCAGTATTTTTCCTTCCATATTGTCCTTGTAGGAATATTTAGTCCATACTGGGAACCAGGCAATGCTCATTTGTGTCAGTGATGCAAAACCTGTTTTCATGGTTGTTTCCAGAAGCCTGTCCAGCCTAATTTCTCTTTGCCCTTTGTTTTCCACCAGGATTGGCGATTGCGAAGCGCATCCAGATCTCTGACTTACCTCAGTTGGTTGCTGCTTTCCACAGTCTAGTGGGTTTGGCGGCAGTGCTTACGTGCATGGCTGAGTACATTGTAGAATATCCGCATTTCGCAATGGATGCAACGTCAAATTTCACCAAGATCGTGGCCTACCTTGGCACGTACATTGGTGGAGTCACCTTTAGTGGCTCTCTTGTTGCCTATGGAAAATTACAGGGTAAGTGATCTGATATAACATAGGGGTAAATATCCATTAGTTAGGGTATCTATAGGTCTGTCTCATTTTGATAAAACCACTTCAGAGTAGAGACTGCCAGAAAAAGGGATTTGTATAGCACCCAGACACATAGGAGATGTTCGACTCAAAAAGAGAATTCATTTTAATTCTTATAGGTTCTGAGCTTTGTGATGATTTCTTCTACAGTCAGGTAATAATAGAAACAGTACACAGAAATCTGTGGACATTGATGGTTCGATAAGATGTATAAACAAAATTACAGTTCCATGGCCTTTGTTTAGAGATGTCTATATATTGTCTGCAGAAATGACCTTGTGTTTCCTAAAATAGAAACATGCTTACTGGATGAGTTAATAGAAATTCTAAAAACCAGCATGTGTTTTAGCACTCTGCCATGGCAAACATTACTTCTGCAATGTGGAATCATGAAAATGGAAGCTGAGGGAAATATCTAGAGAGCCTTTGTGTCATGTGTTCACAAAAAAGTCCCTAGAGAAACGTGTTTGTAAAAATATGGTTTTGCCTCTGAATAATAAGGTTATTAAATGGGGGAAGCTTCCATGAAATTTAAAAAACAAATTCACAAATCAACTTTAAGTCTAAAACATTCTTGTCTCAGGCCTTTTCTTTAGAAATAGCTAAAAGGGTTCTTCTCCCTCGGGCTTGGCTGATAACATCGGAAATGCTAATGTTTCAGAACTCCACATTGAAGTTGTAAATAAACAAAACCACACTTCAGGGCTTCTGTGTTGGTCATACAGGGGGAAAAATCAGCTTTTAAGATGCTGTGACTGAGTATATGTCAAAGTAGGGAACAGAGCAGTTAAATGGAATATTTTCCTGTCTTTGCTAATGTGTGTTATATGTGAAACGTAGCATGTCTTTATGTTCCATATCTGGTGCTAGAAAATGATATCTGAAGTCCTATGCTATTATTCTGCTATTACATTTTGGTAATTTAGGGTTAAGTGATGTATGGGGTTTCCCACGGCATACTCTAGGTTCTGAGAACCATCTGCTTTGGCCCAGGTATTCTGAAATCAGCACCTCTGCTGCTGCCTGGAAGGCATGCACTCAATGCAGGCTTGCTGGCTGCCAGTGCGGCTGGGATAATCCCATTTCTGGCCGACCCCAGCTTTACCACTGGCATTACCTGTCTGGGATCAGTGTCTGCACTCTCTACTCTCATGGTAAGTAGCTGGAGATGGAAAGCACATTCTTAGAGAAGAGCTGGGAGATTACTGTTACACTATAATCTGATCGTGTTTCAGTCTCTTCAAGACCCACAGGAATAACAGTGTCTAAGGCTTTGTCACATGCTCACCATTTTAGAATATAGAAAGCTTAAACAGTATGAGAAGATCATCATGTTCTCTCTTTTTTACTCTTCCAGTGTGCTGGTGAGCAGGAATTTTAAAAGCCAAAGGTTTTAACTCTGTTCATGTAGGTACCTACTATATAACAAGTTCTCCAAATAACACTTTGAGCTTATATAATACGTCTAAGGTGGTCACAACTCATGAGTTGCTCTCGCATTCCTTGAGAGATGTGGTTAGAATCCACATAACTCGTTTCATAATTATGTAATAAAACCTGTGTACTCACTGAGAGAATTCATCCTTTCATGGTGGGTTTTCTTTCCTCTCTTGTCTGATTCTTGCATATCCTATATTGATATGGACAGATTCTATGTCTGTGTTTTGGTTTGGGGTTTTATTAGTAGAGGATGCTATTACCTGGAATTCTGTTGTTCACTTTTGCTTCATATGCCTCTAGCCTGGTGTATACTTTGTAGTCAGCCTTTATATCTTAAGGTGAGAAAAAAGGTATTTATGGCACGTAGCTAGCTGTCTAGTGATTTCTTATCAAATGCTGACTCTTTGGTTCAGAAACACAAGATCTGTAGTATACAAATGGAACATCTTCGTGAGTTATCATAAAGTTAGGTCATGCTTCACTACAGATGCTTTAGAACACTGAACAGTGACTTGAACTTTTGTCTTTATGTGCTTTATAATCCAGTTTTCTTCTGTCTTATCTGGTGATGATTCTTTTGTTTTATTTTAAATTAAAGAAAATAATTTTTGTATTTTTAACCTAACCAAGCAGAAGTTTTAAAAAGTCCCTATAATCTTTAAAATGTAAAAATGTAAAGAATTGTTATTTTTGAGAAATGATGAGTATATTTAAAATGAACTTATAGCCAGTATGAAAATATCCCCATAACACAAAAGATATTTTTAATTTCTTTTGGTTTATATACTCACAGAGAAACAAAGTGCAAAAAATGGAGGGGTCTATAGAATGAATAGAAAAATATGCCCCCATCCTTTTTATTTTCTTGTATTTAATAACTTTAATAATCAAGGACATTATTAGTGATTTTTTAGACACACTGGATTCTGTTGTATTCATCTAGAATGATAACCATTTATAATTTAATTTTTTAAAGATTTCATAATTTAATTTAATTTTTCATATTATTTTTGTTTTGGGGCAGCCGACTTGGTTAGACTGGAGTTTCAAATTCTGCTCCTGTGGTACAGCAACTGAAACCTGTTATTATTTCATCCCTCACAGAATTGCTTGGCACCTGACCCACAGTTTATGTATCAGCTAGAGATTTTGGGTAGTGTTTAGATATAGCATATAGAGCTCTTTCAAATAATTGTAGCCTGCTCCTCTGTAGGATTTTCTTTTTCATTTTCCAGCTGTCTTTGTCATCCAAACCATGCCCTCTGGATCGTCAAACAAGTTCAGACTGTGGACTGGTAGCTTAGTTTATCTCCTCCACTTGATAGCAGAAGGGCCTGAATTCAGTCTCCAGCCACCAGTTGCTGGGACGCTCACTTGGCGTCATTGTATCTTCCCAGGCAGAGTCTTCCGGTTTCTGCCACTTTTTATCACTTTTATTGAATGTTGGGGGTGGTGGTGGTGACTAAATGTTTATAGTTGCTCTGTCTATGAGAGAGTTGGTCGTAGTGGAGAGAGTTGGTCATCACCAAAAGTAGAATTTCTATGGCAATATATTACTTAGAGAGTTGGATTGATGAAGAACCAAGATGTTGAATGTTGGAGGTTTGATTGTATACGCTCACTTGCGGTTCTCTGGTTTCCTCATTAGGGTGTGACTTTGACAGCCGCCATTGGGGGTGCTGACATGCCTGTTGTCATCACTGTGCTCAACAGCTACTCGGGCTGGGCTCTGTGTGCCGAGGGCTTCCTGCTCAACAACAGCCTGCTGACCATTGTGGGTGCGCTCATTGGCTCCTCCGGTGCTATCTTGTCGTACATCATGTGTGTGGTAAGAAATGCATGTGTGAACGAGAAAGAGATGGGGCTCCTGGGAACATGGGTGTGCTTGTCATCTCTTCTATTTGTAGTGAAAATAAATCTATCGTTTTTAATTATTTTCAGCAGAATATGGGGAGTATTGGAGCAAATTCCTAAGGCCGTTTAAATGATACTACAAAGAATGAGGGAAGCTTAAAATGTAAAACTCTTCTAATGCCTCTCTCCATCTGGAGAGCAACACACACTGTTTAGGTTATTTTTACCATTCTTTCTGTTTGCATAGCGCTGTGTGTTTACTTGTCTGACCTTACTCTAATTTTTCAGTGCAGAATCCTTTTTTCTTTCTGTAGCTTGAGATAGGCTTCTGTTGCATAGCCTGTGCTGGCCTTGAACTTGGTGTTGGAACCGCGGACTTTCCTGCCTCAGTCCACCAAGTGCTGGGATTACAGGAGTGAGGGATAATACGTTGTGCCTAGCTTTCACTTAAGTTTTAAAATATTACACACGATAGTCTTGTCTTTTAATCAGGAAAGACTCTGCCTTTAAAATCTTATTATGGGGGTGGGTATACAAAGTCATTTAATATTCCCTAGTATCTCACAGTTATTTGATTTCTTTTATTTATCTTTGTGTATGGTACATCTTTGACATTTTTCATGTGTTTTATTTTATTGTTTGTACCTTTACCTATCTATGTACTGTGTTTTGATCAAATCCACCCCCCATGGGTATGGTGACACATGCCTTTGATCCAACTACTTGGGAGGAGTCAGAGACCAAGGCATGTGTCTCTATGTTGGTTTGAGGCCAGCACGGTTGGGTTACACAGTGAGACCTTGTTCCCAGCAGAATCACAAAATCCGCCTTGCTTCTCCTCCTACACACTAACCACTCTTCCTTCCCATGTGTTGTTTTTTTTTCCTTTTGCCACTAAGTCCACTTACTGTGCACGGCTGTAGGACAATCTGCCAGACCCTGGGTGGCCTCTGGGACTGCATGTTCTTCTCCTAGTCCTCCAGAGGCCATCTTTTCCAGTAGTCCCTCAGCTAGCGGTGGAATATCGTGACCCCCAACCTGCACACTTTCCCCTTTCTGTCTCTAAGATACGGTTCTCAAGAGAGAATGCACTCACTGTGGGAGGCTTTCTGTACTTACTGTGTGTCTCCAGGCAGCTTGTTCTACCAGCGCGCCCCCGGGTATCTATGAGAATGCCCATCATGAAGATTTATGGTCAATATGATTATTTTTTTTATTTTAATGAAGAAACCAGAACAGAAAAGTAGCAACACAAACATCTCCCAGCTTCCTTTTTGTACCTATTTCTTTTCTTGATAGCAAAAGTATTTTGCAAATCACTATAAATCTGACTGAAAACTTTGCTTAAATTCTAGTTATTATTCTCTTCAGAATAGTTTTGGATTATAGTTGAAGCTCACTTGCATTTCTTTATAACAAACAAGTTACAAAAAAAAAAAAAAAAAAAAAAGAAAAGAAAACCCAAACCTGTGTCTGTATCTTTACCAAGACTATGTAAGATATAACTCCAAATGTTTGAATTAAAAAATGGTCACTTAAAAAACTTACTCCAAGGCTTACAAAGCCATCCTGGGTTTACAGATAACCTTAATGGGTTATAGCTTAATAGTAGGTTTAGGACAATTATACACTCCTGTGCTTATAGGATTTTTTTTTTTTTTTTCCTTAGAGAAAGGGTTTCTCTGTGTTGCCTTCGCTGTCCTGGAACTCACTTGTAGACCAAGCTGGTCTAGAACTCAGAGGTCCACCTGCCTCTGCGTCTAGAGTGCTGGTATTAAAGGCATATGCCATCACCACATGGCTGCAGTTTTTTTTATTAATTATTATTATTTATTACAGTTATTCACTTTGTATCCCAGCTGTAGCCCCTCCCTCATCTCTTCCCAACTCCACCTTCCCTCCCTCTTTTCTCCCAATGCTTTCCCCTAGTCGTCTGATAGGAGAGGTCCTCCTTCCCTTCCATCTGACCCTGGCCTATCAGGTGTCATCAGGACTGGCTGCATTGTCTTCCTCTGTGGCCTGGTAAGGCTGCTCCCCCATCAGGGGGAGGTGAACAAAGAGCTGGCCACCAAGTTCATGTCAGAGACAGCCCCTGTTCCCCTTACTAGGGAACCCACTTGGACACTGAACTGCCATGGGCTACATCTGTGCAGGGGTTTTAGGTCCTCCCCATGTGTGGTTCTTGGTTGGGGTATCAGGCTCTGTAGGGCCCCCAGGGCCCAGTTTTTTTTTTGGCTGTGTAGGGCCCCCAGGGCCCAGTTTTTTTTTTGGCTGTGTTGTTCTCCTTTTGGAGTTCCTCTACCCTCCAGGTCTTTCTATCTCCCCCTTCTTTCGTAAGATTCCCTGCACTCTGCCCAAAGGTTGGCTATGAGTCTCAGCCTCTGCTTTGATACCTCAACCAGTAGAGTCTTTCAGAGGCCGTCTGTGGTAGGCTCCTGTCCTGTTCCCTGTCTTCTCCTGCTTCTCATGTCCATCATGTTTGCCCTTCTGAATGAGGATTGAACATCTTTCCTGTAGTTTTTTAAAATTACAATTATTTTTATGTGTATGGATGTTTGTCTGCATGTATGTCTGTGCACCACTTGCTTGCCTGGTGCCTGCAGAGACCAGGAGAAGGCTGGAATTGTAGTGACAGATGGTTATGAGCCACCATGAAGGTGCTGAGACTCAAATCTGGGTCCTCTGGAAGAGCAACCAGTACTCTTACCTGCCGAGCCATCTCTCCGGCCACCTAGGTTGTTTTTTTTTTTAATGTAATATTTTTAAGAACATTATGCATGAACATTGTATTTATGTCACTCTCACCCTTCCTCCCCCACACCAACATCTCCCATTTCCCCCAAATTTAAGACCTTTTCTTCTGTAATGTATGTACTTAAATGTACAGACAACATATGAAGTTCATTCAATGTTGCTTGTATAGATGTCTGTCCAGCGCTAACCAGATCTCCCTTTCTCAGTAGCCGTTGGCTTCCTTTATCTAGGGTGGCACCTTCCACACTGGCACTCAGCTGGTGTTGTCCTTATGCTGGTCTTGTTCAGGAAGTCATATTGGTGAGATTTCACGGTGCTTCTCCTTGTCATGTCCAGGGGACACTGTGTAGCAGCAGGCACCATCTCCCGGGTCTTACAATGTGTCTGTCCCCCACCCCAACCCTCTCCTTCCTGTTCTCCCTGAGTCTTGGGTGTAGGGCTTACATTGCAAATGTTTTATTTGGTATAGGACACCAAATAGTCACTTAATCTATGTATTTTGACTAGTCCTGAATCTCTGTAATAGTCTCCTGTTGCACAAAAAGCTTTTTTGATGGGATAAGAGTTCCACCTAAGCTGGCTTCTTTGGTTACCGCAGGTTACAGAAAATCTTCATCTTTGCATCTCAGCATTTAACTTGCTGTGATTGAGAGATACCATGTCAGTTAAAATGCTAAAGTTATCTTTTCATAATAAATGTTTTGTTGTGTTTGCTCCTCTTGTAAAACACAGGGCTTGACAGCCCAAGTTTAAAACAACCCGGATTATTATGTTACCTAAGTAGTTGGAAAAACTTGGAATTTGTAAATTTTATATACTGTTTAAACACCTCAAGGCTCTGGGGTGTTTAAATTACAAATACCTTCAAAGAAAAGTTATATTTAGGTTTTTACAAATACTGCTTTCTTGAAAAATAAACCTTTAAAGAATTTTATTGTTGCTTTTGGAGAATATGAATGACCAGGAGGGGGCAGCAGATTTTCATGATTATTTAAAGGTGCTATGGCAGAAAAATGAGCTTTATAATCAAATTGTAAGATTTGAGTTATTTTATATTATTATTATTACTATTGTTTCTCTTTATTTTAGACAGAATCTCACTGTGTATCCCTGGCTGGCCTCCAACTATGGATCCACTTGCTTCAGCCTCCTAAATGCTGAATTACAGGCATGCACCACCACACCTGGCAAAATATTTGAATTGTATCTATGCTAGTGTCATATCGATGCAAGGAGACATGTGGAAGGGATTGTATGTAGTTCTTGAGACATCATCGTGAGCACTTTTCCCATTTTTACCTTGTTTCTTTAGTGGCTTTCTTTAGATTCTTAATTATTATTTTTTGACTTAGCAGCTTATGCTTCAAGTTTCTAACCTGTTTCTTGCTTCTTGCCTTTTTCTTCCTATTCGGTTTCCATGTTATTGTAGCGACAGCAGCACAGTAGCTCCTACGATATTTTTTAATTTTTTACAACAGTGACTAGAATGATTTACCCTGTAAGAGGTGCCTGTTGGTCATATTTTCTTCTGTGTTCTCTTGTGAAATGATCTTATCTTTCTCCCTTTGTTCTGTCCTTTCACATGTCAGGGTGTTTTTCTGCTCTTTGTCTCTTTTCTATTTTCTACTGCCCCAAGCATTCCATTCCCATCAATGTTTTATAGTTTTTTGAGTTCTTATACTAATATATCCTTATAGTTGTCTGGAACTATAAATAGATTAGATTAGATTAGTACCCCATAATAGTGTGTTTTTATTCATCTGGATTTAAGGATAGTGAGAGCCTTAATTGAAAAGACTACTCCAAGGCGAGATGTGGTAGTGGATGACTTTGATCTCAGCACCTGAGAGGTAGAGACAGAGGCAGGCAGATGGCTGAGTTTGAGGCCAAGCTGGTCTGTATAGTGAGTACTAAGCAGCCAATTCTATACAGTAAAAACAAACAACAACAACGTCAAAGCCAGCAAAGAGAACACCACGGGCCAGTCATTGCGGCACACACCTGAAATCGCGACATCTGGGAACCTGAAGTATGAAGAGCATTATCTGAGGGTGGCTGGGATTACATGTAGTCTTTAGGGCCAGCTCATACCTGTGAAGATTCTCTTTCAGAAAGAAAGCTCAGTTACAAAAGTACAAGTGTTTAATGTAGGGAATTTGGATGAAGAGAAAAGCATGAGGGAAAATAAAATGACATAATTTCCAATCATTTAATAATTAA